TGGGAATGCAGGGCAGAAACTCAGGAGCGACAAGGGAAGCTGGTGGGGTAGGGAAGCGACAGCGAGAACCGGTTGCCATTATCAGCAAACACTGCCTTAGAAAAATCATTAAAGAGCTGCACAGATTTTGAACCAGGAAGTGTAAGTGAGAATAATTAAGTGAATGTCAAATCAAAATGAGAAAATGTAACAGAAAGACAAGGAAGCAATAGATTAAGAGATACATAAAAGTGACAGAAAGAAAAAAATAAAAAGGCTACTTAACATATTATAATCTCTAGCAGCAGCTAAAGCTGATTGAATGGGACTTAGAGTCATAGAGTCATACAGCACGGAAACAGACCCTTCGGTGCAACTAGTCCATGCTGACCAGGCTCCCAAACTAAACTAGTCTCACCTTCTGATTCCAAATGTCTTTTAAATATTGTAACTGCACCAACATCCACCTCACATGTGTAAAATATCATTTTCAAGTCCAGAGGTTCAGTAATTACTTATCTGCTATTTTTCGTTTGTGGGACCTTGCTGCTTGCAAATTGGGCACCATCGTTTGGTTATTCAACAATAGTGATTACAGCTCAAAAAAACTTATTGCTTGTAAAGCATTTTGGAGTGGTCTGAAACATGATAAGGTGCTACATGATTGCATTTTCTCTGAAAGCATATAATGGTCATGTACTCACTTTTGCCGAATCCAAATGCCATCCATGCGCATGTCACCATGAGAAAGAGAGGCAAACCCAAGATAGGGGATTGGAAGAAATTCAAAGATTATGGACATGGTAACGAAATGCAGCTAATATGGATCAAGAGGAGTGATCACATGAATCATCATAAATCTGTCATTCAGAATATATACAAAATCAAAAGATTATACAATTTAAGGAAGACAAAATGCCATATTGCCAATGCATTGGACTGTCACCGCTTCAATGTTATGCTCAATTCCCTGGAATGGGTTTACATCTTCTAATTCAGAAGGTAGAGTGCAACCACTGAGCCAAGGTTTTATTCACAGGTTTATCGCAATACAGGTATTTCTGCTATAATACATGTTTCATTAATGCAAATTGGCTGTAACATGATTAATGAATAGTGGACACTGTTTGGATAATGTGATCTTTCTGCTGTTCAGGTATAACGATCTTCTGTTGTGATTTCCCTGTAACATGATTTTCCGTGGCGATTTTCTATAGCACAAGGTCACACAAGAATGCAACTATCACGTTGTAGGAGAAATACCTCAGTATAGAAAATATTTATACTCATCAGAAAGTCATTGCTTCAGAGCTAGCACCAGACGCTAAAGGTGACAGATTACTTAAGTTAGAGGACAATCATTAGTTGTCAAGAATTGACTGCTGAAACCCATTGCCTGCAGATTGATGTATGGAACTTTATATGGCCATCAATTTTGAAGCAAGGTGTCAATGAATCAAGGGAAGAGTGTGGATATACCATGAGTGAACACTGTTCTGACTCTTGAGTGAGTCCCTGAAGTGATGATAACTGTTTTGAAACTTTGAACTCAATTTAATTGTAGATGACAGCCAGAACATTGGAGCCATCTTTTACTTGCAATCACACAAACAGGTTGTCATGCAGAACAGGCCAGGTTACGTCAATATACAGGGTAAGGGCTGCCTGAGCATCTCTCACCTTCCTCACCTCATTATTAGTGACAACGCCTTCAGCTCTCCAGGCCCTAATTTCAGATTTTCCTCTCTGCCCCTCCACGTCCTTTAAGGCCCTGTTTAAAACCTACCTTTTCAATTAAATATGAGGTCTTTCGGCCTCAGATCTCCCTCTTTTGCTTGGTGTCATTTTGTGACAGCTTTACGCATCTATGAAGTGCCTTGGGATTTTAATTATTGCTAAGTTGAGTTTCCATTGTGCAGTTTGCATTTCAGGGTGGGAATGCTTGACCACTGCTCTGGTTACCAGACCTGAAAGTGGTGCGTCTGCTAAATGTAGGTGAGGTTTCCCAGGACAGCATGTACATGCGAAATTACCCCCACCCTCAAATTCTCTTTAAATATAGAGCCATTGACGTTACCATCACAGGAAGTTGAAGAGATGAACATGCCGATACTGACTCTTCACTGAATTCTATACAAGAAGCAAATCAGAGTTGCAATTAAAGAACAGCTAACTGTATTGTAACCAGTGGGTGTGTTTCTATAACTTATCAATGAAGACATGTGAATGTGATGACTCCGAAAAACCCCTCCCTTTTGGAGTAATGATGCCGTCTTTAGAACAAGTGGGTGTATGCAAATCAGTTGGTGGCTTTATTGTTTGAATTTGGGGAGCTGTCTCCTGCCCTTCAGTAAAAACCGAAAGAAATACAGATGCTGTCAATCGGAGACAAGAATTGAAATTGCTCAAGATTCTGAGGAAGGTTCACTCAACCCGAAACGTTAACTCTGATTTCGCTCCACAGATGCTATCAGACTTGCTGAGCTTTTCCAACAATTTCTATTTGTGTCCTGCCCTTCAGTGTTAGGCGTTGGTGAAAGAGAAAGGGAGAGGTAGCGCTGTCTGCTGCAGACCTGGTCAGTTGTGCCTCTATAGCTCTGAGAGCCACATGGAGCACTGGTGTTCTTCCAAAAGTGGAGCCAACGATGACTGAAAGACTGATGGCAATCAGTTCCAGGACCACTTTGCAGGCTTTTTATCCACCCAGGCTGGGGCTCCAGTATGTAGGCTCATTTGGCAGTTCTCCTGGTAGTTGTTCAAAATGCACCCACTCGATTCAGACCTAGAATACTGGATAGAGACGAGGCTGTGATCTGTCAGTAGATGGCAGACCTGCTCTCCCATCATCATGGTGACACAACAAGACCAGGAGATTCCCGTGCGTAATTTAATATCCCGCACTTCAACAGGCAGAAATCCTGCCTCAAAGCAGGGCTTCATTTTCAAGTTGGCCTGTACCCAGTTAAAGCATATGCCCTTGAGTCTATGTAAACCTTGAATCATTGTTTTGATCTGGGTCACTGCAATAATATACATGCTTTCTCTTCTTCATTCAAGAGTTTCCATCTAGTTTTCTAGTCTGCAGTATCCCTCTCTCCAGAGCTCCTGGACAAATGTAACTCCATTGCTGCCCAAAGAGTGTGCAATGCCACAATAGGAGGTTTGAACAACTTGCTGGGGCTCCTATAAGATTGGGACTGGAGGATTCTTGCTGATCCAGGAAGGTGACTGTTATGCTTTATTAACTTGAGCGTTCCTTTCTGGAAGACATGCCCCCAGCTCCCAAATCTTCTCATTCCCTAGTGTCTTTCACATTCTTTCTAGAATTGTTAGGTGGTTGTTTTTTGACCAGCATGGACATGATGGGCCAAAGAGCCTTTTTTCTGTTGTGTAGACCTCCATGACTCTCTTGCCGTTTGGTTATTGATTTTTGTTTGTTTTACATTTGTGTGTTCAGGAAGGGAATGCTCTGCAAAATTGACCCCATCCTAACTTCAAAAGGATTGTGTCACCTGTTGGAAGGAAACCAGCACCATCATGACCGAAAATCATTCTGCATTATTCTACTGAAGAAGGGCCAGTGTGCACCCAGTCAACAAATAGAAAGTAACAAAACTTGATGACCTTGCAAGTTTTTCACATTCCCTTTTTGTTAACTGGAGCTCCCATTTTAAAACCCGTCATTCACCATACGAGCATATGACATTGGAGCAGCAATAGACTATCTGGCCTCTTGAATCTGTCCCATTATTCAATAAGATCATGGCTGTTCAGATTGCAGTCTCAACTCCACTTTCCTGTCTATCCTGATTGCCTCATTTCCTTGTCACTCAAAGAATCTCTTTACTCTGCCTTAAAACGATTCAACAACTCTGCCTCTGCCACTCTCTGGATAGAGAATTATTCAGCCTCACACTAGCTTCCCAGCTCAACAGAATAAATTTCAATATGCACAACACCTTTAACATGGTTAAATATCCCAATGCACTTCACAGCAATCTTATCAGGTGAATGACATTTGGTCATTTTTGCAGGTATTAAGATAGATAACCTAAAGCCTTGATCAACGTTGTAGTAGGGT